CACAGGTCCCCTGTTTACAAGGGCACCAGTCCTTGGATTGAGGGACTTAGGGCCCAGCCTTATCCAATAGGACCTCATATTTGCAAAGACCTTATTTCCAAATAGGTCACATCCTTTGTGGTGGTCACAGGCCAATCTGCCACCCGCTGTCCTGCTGGCTTGGGTCTGTCTGGCCGCCTGTCACAAGGAGCAGCTGGTCTTCGAGCCCTGCCTGCAAGCCAATGTTGGTGTCTGCTTAGTTCTCCTGTTCTGGGGGTCAGACCTCAGGCCTGTGGTGTGTGTGCTGGGCCCGGGATGGTTTGTGGCTTTCCAGGGGGTGGCCTGCTCCATTCAGGGTCTCCTGGGCTCCCCCAGCCAGGCCCGTTCAGCCCCACGGAGGTGCCATGTTGGGGGAGGGCAGTGAGCCTAAGGAACCTAAGGAATCCACCGCCCTAGGATTTGTCGCATGGCCCCAGGCCCTAGAGAAGAGTTGGAACTCTTGAATGTGTCCTCCTTGGGTCACTTTCCTCATGGGTGAAAGTCACGGTCAACAGATCCCAAATGCCCAGCGGAGATAATCCAATATAATTCGGATAGCAGGAAAAGCCATCGCCGGCTGCCTGAGGTCAGTGACCTGGAGAGAAGGCCATTCTAGCCATTGCAGTGGTCCCACATGGCCTTGGTGAGGACCCCCTCCCCCATGTCAGTGGAGGGGGGAGGGGGTCCCCAATGGCCTCACTCTCCCCAGGAGCAGCAGGGTGCTCTGGACCCCTGCTCCTGTCACACCCCCTCCTTGGAGGGGGCTGGGTGCTTCCCGATGGAAGGGAGAGCTCACGGCCACCATGCGTCCCCCGGGTTGGGCACAGACACGGCTGGGTTGTCCCTCGGCGTCCCTGGGAGCCAGGGCGGGACCCCTGGGCTGGCTGGACTGTCACCGCATGGCACGGAGCTCTCACAACGGAGCCCTTATCTTCCTTTGCCATCCTGTGGGCCGTGCCTGTCTGGCCGCCGGGGTGGGGGCTCCAAAACCCCCCTGTGTTTGTACTTCCAGCCGGCCCGTATTGACCCTCGCCCGGCGCTCCTGGGGAGGGCCCGTGATTCATTCACTGCCCAGGCAGGCGGGGCTCCGGATCCCGCTGCCTCTGCCGCCCGCCCTGGACCCCCCACCCCACCCCACGCCTGCCTGCCCAGGAGACCAGAGAGCCGGCCTGCTCCCCAGACGACCGCAGAGCCCTCCCAGCCATGTCCCTCCATCCGGGGTGCAGGGGGCAGCATCTGAGGGGCGGTCTTCGCTCATCTGTGCATGAGACTTGCTAGTTCCTCCCCTGCCCCTGCTTCCCAGAGCAGCAAGGGGGTCCGAATCCGCCTAGGTCACCGGCCAGCCCCATGGGGTAGGCCTCAAACGGCACGGCCTTATTTCGCAGGTGGCTCGAGCGGTTCCTGGTGGGTTCTCTTTAGGACGGAACCAGAATCTGGGCCTGGGGGGCGGCGGGGGTGATATCTGGGGGGTGGGTGAGGGCGGCAGCCTGTCTGGGGACTCTGTCTGCCCCAGGGGGGCCCTTGGCTGCCGGAGCAGGTACAGCAACAGGGGGCCCCCTGGGCGTGCGAGCCCCCGCCCCACCTGGTGAGCCCCCTGCCTGGTGACTCCCATGAGAATGTGACCCGGTCTTGGAGGAGTGTCTGTTCCAGGGTGGCTGGAAAGTCCTCCCAAGTCCAGTGGTGTGCTTTCTTGGCCGTGAGAGGCACGTCCCTGGCCCACTCTCCTGGCTGGCCAGGTTCCGTGGGGCTGGCACTGCCATTTCGATGTTAAAATAACCCCAGAACAGTCCAGAAAGACTCCGCTCTGAGCTTCCGGACGGGCCAGTGGCTGCCAGGGGAAGCCGAGTGCTGCGCGGCCGCCGCTGCCACCTTCCCCCGGCGCCTGTCCCCGGAGCCCGGCACGGCTGTCCTGGGCCCTTGGCGGTGACTTCCGGAGCTGTCTCGCCACCCAGGCCCGCTGGATGCCAGCCTGCGTCTGGGTTTTCGCTGGCTTCTCCTATCTCTTGCACAGCCCTTCCAGTTTGGGTGGATTTTAGATGTTTTTCCACAGGGGCCCTTTGGAAAACGGTGCCCAGAGCTCGGGCTTCCCAGCCCAGCCTGTGAAGTGAGTCTTGTCTCCTCTCCTGGCAGCCAGTCAGGGAGCGAGATCCGGCCGGAACGGGGCTGCTCCCACGGGGCACGCAGGGAGGTACCAGAAGGTCTGCAGTCTCTTTATCCTGGGCCGGCCCCAGGGGGATGGCGCTGCTCAGCTCACGGAAACCACTGCCCCCTCAAAGCTGTCCTCCCTGTTCCCCAGCTTGGGCGTTACTCTTTCGGCAGCACTGGGGAGAGCACGGTGGGGTGATGAACACCAGCGTCCTCCTCCTCCAAGCCTCGTATCCTTTCTCCCTGGGGCCCTTGGCTCTTGTTCTGGGGACCCCGTGGTCAGCTGGCGAGGGGCTGGGGGCGATCCTGTCCATAGGCTGACCCCAGGCAGCCTGGGGCCGGGCCGCTCTGCACGTGAGACCTCTCGTCGCTCAACAGCGCAGGCGCCGTGAGGTGCCCAGGCCTGGGGGACGCAGCCCATCAGGTCTTGAACCTTAGGGAGCTCCTGGTCAGGGGGTGACAGGCACACAAAGGGGTCACAACACCAGACCAGGTGAGAAGGAACCAGAAGGACATTCCTGGTGCAGGAAGCAGCATGAGCTGGGGCACAGGGGCAATGGAGTGTGGCCGACGGGGTGAGGGAGGAGCGGGCAGAGGCCAGTCCCACGTGTGCAAGAGGCAGTTGAGGAGTGCGAGTGGGGGCACAGACTCTGGAGCCAGACCCCAGGGTTCGAATCCTAGTTCTGCCTCTTCCTAGCTGTGAGACCTCAAGCAAACTACTTGGTAGTTCTGGGCCTCTTTTTCAGCATCTATAAAATGGGCATGCGGATAGCAGCTCTCGTCTGGTTGAATGAGTAAATGCATGGACAGTGCCCAGGGCAGTGCCTGGTGCCGTTAGGGCTCAAAAAGCATGGGCTGCTGGGATGTGTCCTCATCCCGGTGAGGACCAGGAGGACCGGGGTAGGGAGGGAACAGGTACAGGACATCTCCAGTCAGTGAAGAGGCAGGTCTTGGTCTGAACGTATGATTCTTAATCTTGTCCAATCTGGGGGGCGGGGGGCTGCCTAGAGGCTGAGCCTGTGACGTGCAGCAGGGGGTGACCCAGGGGCGGAATTTGTCATTTTTGTTTAGTGGGAATCAGGTCACACTGCAATCGTCCCACGGACCTAGTGGCTTCTGGCCGAGGCAGGGCAGTAGCATCCCTAGAGCGTGGGGGTTGCAGGCGAGGCGTGGAAAACTTCCTCTAGGTGGTAAGATGTATGAGCGTGATTTACAGGGGACCCCAGACTCCAGGGACAGGATGGTGTTGAAGGAGAAGGCATGGGTCCATTCCAAAAATGAAGGGCGTTAGGATTGCAGGTGGCCCGGGGACACCGCAAGACCCGTGGAGGGGGCACAACTGGGCGGCCTCTGGGGAGTTTGGCTTCGTCTATCTCCCACCTGGTAGGTTCCAACAGGTGGAGTGGGGGTGGGGGCAGGGCTGGGGGCCAGGTTGCTGTCTGGGACTGAGGTGACCCCTCAGGGGGGACTGATCGGGTGGGGTTCCAGGACACGTGAAAGAGAAGGCCCCATGACCTGTGAGGCCCGAATTAACACCACTTCACCCTTCGGATCGCATCTCAAGGGCCACTTCCACAGGGAAGCCCTCCTGGATTTCCCGATGGCCGACCCTCCCCCACGCCCCACCCCTCCCAGCCCAGTGATCACAGCCCCCACCACAGCTGGAATTCTAGTCCGCCTGGGGGGTCATTTGAAGACAAGTGGAGGACTCTGGCAGCAAGACCCAAGGAGCGAGGAGACCATCTTCTCTCTTCACCGGGGCGACCACAGTAGAGCTCCCAGGAGCTCAGCAAACGAACTGGAGGAAACACCCACCGCCTTGTCCCCCGAGCTCACCGAGCGCTCGCCGTGGGCACTCGGAGTTAGAGCAGAGACCGGCTGGCGAGTGTCCCCGTGTGGGACCCCTGCTGTGCCGGCACGGGCTTACCAGGTGACGCTGTCCCAGACATCCCCAGCGGGCAGTGGGGTTGTACCGAAAGCAGAGGTTTCCTTCTGGCTCTCCTCACGACACGTTCGTCACGGGTTGACCGTGACGTTGAGACCGGGGCCGTCGGCCTCCCAGGAGAACTGAGGGTCCCAGGCTGGCGAGGAGGCCGCTGTGTTGAATGTCACCCCAGAAGGAACGGTTAGCGATCAGGGACTTCACCCTGGGCCCAGAGGTGACTCGTGTCACAGGCGCCGCAATGTGCCCCTCCCCCACGCTGCTCTCCCGAAGGACTGCTGGGAAGTGTGGCTCCCCCCACGAGAGTGGAAAGCAGAGAGCAGGTGCTCGCGGCTGGTGGGCTGGTGGTAGTAACGGGCCACACTGGCCACAATGGAGGTGAAACAGTAGGCAGGGCTGGGGGCCAGTCTCGGAGGGAGCGGCCTCTGGTCCTCTCCTGGGGCAGATGTCCCCCCTTCCTGAGGACGATCGCACCGCTGTGTCCCTCCTCCCGACGGATGGGGCGCAGACCCACGTGGGGGGGGTCTGTCCACCCTCAGCCTTGGGCAGTACCAGGCAAGGTCAAGAGCAACGATGATGCAGTTTCAGCCGCTCGCACGGGGGCAGCTTGGGGGGCCTCCCCGAGAGGGTCCCGGGGCGTGGTGTGGGCCGGGGGTTCCAGGAAGAGGCCGGTACCACATCCCCACATGGAGAACTAGGGGGCAGCTGGCGGGGGGCGGCGCTCGAGGACCCAGGCGGCTGTGCCCGGGTGGGCTTCTTGAGGGACCCCACAGAGCAGGCTTCCAGACCAAGCCGGGCCTCGGAGGATGTGGGGAGGCCCTCGTGTGACCCATGGGGAGCTGGGGCCACAGGGCCGAAGGGCTGTGTAACCCCGTGTCCGTGGCTCTCCCTACAGCCCCCTGCCCTCCCCCCGAATTCCCCAGCGCTTGAGATGAGGCCCCGGATGCTGCCTGTGTTCTTTGGGGAGAGCATCGAGGTGCACCCAGAGCCCACGCACGAGATCCGGTGAGTGGGGCTGCCGGCCGGGGTGGGGGTGCGCCAGGCGCTGGTCCCGACCCCCTGTGGGGAAGTGTGGTCAGGCTCTGGGCCCAGCAGGCTCCCCGCTCCTGCTCCGGGCACCCCTCTGGTTGCTGCTCCCTGAGGAGGCAAGAGCATATCTTGGCCAGCGATGAACTGACTGTAAGAGATGCCGACCCGAGGGGACCTTCTCGGTCTCCCTCCCGTGCTCCACGTCTGCACCAGACCATTTCCCCACTGCCCTGCTCCCCAGATCCGGCCGATTTTATTTTAATTCGACCTTCCAGAAAGTTTGCACGATGACCGGCACTCACGCAGCTCGTGGAGCTCCCTTGCTCCTCCAGTCCTGCCAGGATGTTCTGGCGTCCGTGACCCAACCCCACACACGCGACCGGGGGCCCCTTTTCTGCTCAGGGCTTGCTGGCTGTCACGTGAACACAGACGTGCTCTGTGCTCCTGGGACTGTCGTGTCTCATGTACCTACTGAGGCATCCTTGACCTCACATGTATTAGGGGCCCTCCCGGGTGTGGGACATTTTAGGTGCCTCTGAACTTCTGGGCTAAGGTGACCCCTCCAGGAGATGTCCTGCATAGGTTTGCCCTCCTGGGAGGGCTTCTGGGGGTCAGGATTCCAGAAGGTGGAGTCCAGGGGCCACAGCATCTTTGGGAAGGATCTGTCCATGACAACCTGGGTCAGCCAGGGAGACCCACACCTGCCCCTCCAGCTCTGGACGTGGTCCCAGGAGATGGCTCGGCTGCACAATTCGCTCTTCCCAAAGAGCCCCCGTTATTTAAATGAGGGCTGAGCTGACTAGCCGGCCCCACGCAGTGCACAAGAGCTGACTCTTGGGCCCTCTGATTCCCTTCCTAAACCGACCATCTGTGGGGCTGCGATGGGGGGTGAGGCGGGTACAACCCCCCCGCTGCCGCCCGCCAAGCCTTTGCTTACACTTTGCTTTTCTGAGGTCTGGAAGCAGAGCAGCAGGGCACTGGGATACTTTTGGGGAAACTTCTTTTGATACAATTTCAGACTTACAGGAAAGCGTCAGGGAGAGCTCGAGGAAGCCCCACGTACCCATTAAACAGATTCACTGGTTCTTTACGTTTTGTCCCGTCTGCTTGAACATCGGCAGGCTCTCTCCTGCGCAGATAAATCTTTTTTTCTGAACCACTGGAGAGAGGCAGGTGTGGTATCCTGACGTTTAACCCGTAGTACTCTGGCACCCTTCCCGAGAGCAGGGACACCCTCTCATGCAGTGACCCCACTGCCCCATCCCCAGGGCCCGGATTTTGTCTGCTGTCCCCACATGGCCTTTCACGGCGGATTTTCAGTCCAACTCAGGATCCACCCCGAGTCGTGGGTCACACTGAGAACTACTGCTTTCCTGCCCTGCAGGCGGGCACACTCCCGTGCCCTTTGACCTTGACATTGGGGAAGAGCCCGGGTCGTCCTGTTCAGGGGTGCCCTCCCCACGTTCATGGACCCCCGCCCCCCCCAAGACGGCACGGGTGAGCAGCGGGTGGCCCCCCTACCCCGTCCTGGGCTCACCCTGCCCCCCCCCGCCCTCCCCAGCTGCAACTCGGAGGTCAAGTACGCCTCGGAGAAGCACTTCCGGGACAATGTCTTCTACGCGCCGGTGCCCACGGTCACGGCCTACAGCGAGACGATCGTGGCAGCACCCAACTGCACGTGGCGCAGCTACCGCAGCCAGCTGACCCTGGAGCCGCGGCCCCGCGCCCTGCACTTCCGCAGCACCACCATCATCTTCCCCAAGCACGCCAGGAGCACTTTCCGGACCACCCTGCACTGCAGCCTGGGCCGGCCCAGCCGCTGGTTCACGGCCAGCGTGCAGCTCCAGCTGTGCGAGCACCCCCGGCTCCTGGGGCCCGCGGCGGCGCTCTGACGGGGCGAGCCGCCCCCCCCACCACCACCAGCGACCTTGGGGGGTGCCCAAGGACGGACTCCGCGGCTCAGCCTGGAGCCTGGGCGCGAGGGAGCCTGGGGGGGCCCATTCCAGCGCCATGGACTCCATTAACACGTCTCTTTTATTAGCACGTAAACAGGGGAGGCCGCGCAGGCATGGCCCCCTTGAAGATGCAGTGGGGGGTGCCCACCCCCCCAGAGGCCGGGCTGGAGAGAGGAAGGTGGGCGTCGGTGGTGCGGCCTTGGCGCCCAGAACAGCCTTGGCCGGTAGGGCCGTTGCGGCTCCTTGACACCGGCCACCTGGTCTGTCCGGGGCTGGCAGCCTGACTCCCGGGCCATGTGCGCTGGAAGAGGGGTGCCATCCAGACTCCCACGCTCCTGGGAAGAAATGTCTCCAAAGTGGGCCCTTTACCTGTGCGCAGCGAGGCTAGAGGCCCAGGCAGAGCAACCTCTGGTGGCTGTTGAGCCGGGAGGTTAGGCAGAGGCCGAGGAAGCTGGGGCTCCTGCCAGTCAAGGCCTTGCCTGAGCGGCTCCCGGGTACTATGGCTTCAGGGACGAAGGTTTGGGGCACAGCCCGCCTAAACAGAGGCCTTTGAGCTCTGCAGCCGGAGCCTCCCCCCCAGGGCAACCCCAGCAGGAGCAGGACTCTCAGCCCGGAGCCTTTGTGCCAGGTGCCAAGGGAGGCCATCGAAGCTCTTGGAACACCCGCCATCCCCTGCATGGGGGTCCAGGCTCAGCCGTCAGCTTAAAGAGATCCCATGGGGGTTTCTGCCCGCGGTGATACCACGCAGGCCACAGGGATCACCTCGTGGGGGACGCCAGGACGCACCCTGGCTGGGGGCCACGGGCTGGTGCCGCCTCGGACTGTGCCCCGAGAGCCCCCAGTGTGGCCTGAACGGACCTGGAGGGTAGGGGGCTGCCCCGCCACTCCCTTGATCACCCCCCGTGATGGGTGTGGGGCAGAAGGGCTCCCTGGGGCTGGAGCCCCACATTGGGTGAGAGAAGCAAGTCTGAGCTCACATCCAAGAGAGGCCAAGTGCTTGATGTATTTTTATGTATCTACACAGATGGAGCGTGCTTGCGCCACAGTCTGATTAACAAAGAAATAACTTAAGAACTTGACCAATTATCCTAATAAAATGTGCAAACCCAAAGAGACTCCCTCTTCTGTCTCTGAGCCCTCAGATCCCATGGGGCGGGGGCCGGTTTTCATAGGCCCCTGTACTCTGTGGCCACCCCCTTTTCTTCCCTCCCAGGCTTAGCTTCGGGGAATGCTGCCTCCTCTCAGCCTCTCCTCTGCTCACAGAACAGGGAGGCGCCCAGAGAGCTCAGAAACCTGCACCCCGCCCCCTCAACTTCCCTGGGCACGGCTTCACCCAAGAGCTGCTCAATAAATGCAGAGACCCAGGCCCCACCGCGGGACTTGGGTCCCAAGGGTGGTTCTGAGGGGTCCTGGGAATCTGCCTTTTTTTTTTTTTTTTTTTTTTTTGGTGCCTGGCATCTCAGCCCCATCCCCTGATAGCCCCCAACCCCCTTCCCGGAGAAGGGCCCCAGCTGCCTCTGCATGGGTCATCCCGGCCCATGTTACAACTTGTCTCTCTCCATCCTGTCCATGGCTTTGGAGGGACCCCTGAGGCCCCAGGTGGTGAGTGCTATTAGGGAGACACTCGGCCGCCGTGGGACACTGTCTTCTAGGAATTGCAAAGTGAGACTGGAATTTGCCCCCCAGGCCTCTGGAGTTGGGGAGCCGAGCAAGTGGGGTGCGTTTCGACATAGAGGGTTTGCGGGGGACAGATCCCTCCTTCGAGGGGGTGGTTCACAGAAGTGCACTGGGCAGGGTCATCTGTGGCCTCCTGATGCTGGGCCCCGAGCCTGCTGGTGTGTAAGATAACAGCGACGGTAAAGCTGTACGAGCGGACTCCCGCAGCGCCCAGTATGCCCCCGGTGCTAGATGAAGCCCCGCCGTGTGGTTTCACTCCATTCACCTGATGAGACAGGCACTCCCGTATCTCTGTGTTACAGAGGAGCAAGGCACAGAGAGGTTAAGTAACTTGCCCAAGGTCACACAGCGAGTGGGAGGCAGGGCCAGGATCTTACCCACTTGGCTACGTGTCTTTAAAGGAGAATGCTCTCTAGCCAAGGGGCAGAGGAGTGAAAGGGGCCGGGGAGTGAAAACCAAGAGGGTCAAGGACAGGCTTCCTTCACTGTGAGGAAGACTCCTGGGGCCTCTGAGGGCTGTGTGGACAAGCCGTAGGGACCTGACAACTCAGCCCATCTAGAGATGGGATTCTGTGCAGACACGCGTGCTGGGGATTACATCATTCGTACATAATCAGTCCAGCTGCACAAGCTCCATTTCAACCACGACCTTGATCTCCTACCACTTGGAGGAAGAATGGGCTGAGCTTCCGGACCTGTGCACTTAGGGTGCCAATGAATCCAGCGTCCTTGGAGGTGCCCCTGGGGTCGCCCAAGAAGGAACTTCTGAGAGCCTCCAGCTACAGCTTCCCGGCCCCTGCCTGGGCCCCCCAGCACGATCCTCGCCTGCGGGGGACTGAGACCATGCCTCTCCCTTCTCTTCCCGGCATCACCTCTGTCCCCACTCTCCCAGACGGCTCCGGAGAGCACAGCAAGTTCGAGTTCCCGACTGTGCCCTGTCTCCAGCGGGCTCCGTGAGGTCCGGCCTGGGAGGAGGGGAAAGTGGAGAGCGAGGGCAGCTGCCCAGAAGACCCCTAAGTGCACCCTGGTTTTCCTGGGAACCAGAAGACCTGGAGGCCAGGCAGAAGAAATGCCAGTTTCATCTAGATTCTTGGGATTTTCACCCCAAGATGGAGACACCGGAGCGCAGCTCGCCACCTGCCAAGGCCCTTCCACCTCGCCCTGGCCTTCAGGAACCCCGGACCTAGCCGCACTAGGAAGCCCCCAAAGGGGCAGGTGTCCAGGCCCGGTCTCTAAGCATTTGCCAGATGGGCACACGTTCTTGTGTCCCAGGCTGCGGGAGGGGAGAATTGGTGCTTGTCGAGCCTCTGCCACAGCTGAGCCCGACTGGGAGCCGTCCTGGGGGCAGGGCTGCCTCCCACCTGGGCAGAAACCCTTCACGTGGCCCCAAATCCCCCTGCTGACCCCCTGCTGCAGTCACTCCTGCTATCTCCAGGTTCACATCCACCAGCCTCGAATCAAACTCAGCCCCCTCCCCCACCAGCCCACCCAACTCCAACCAGGTGTCCCCGTCCTCTGGACTCCACGCAGTCCCATCCCCTGCTCCCCAGCGTAGGAGGGACGAGAGCAGCCAGCAAGGACTCGGAGCACTTGCTCCATCTTCGGGAAGCCTGGCCCGTGCATCCTCACAGGGACTCCGGGAGGCTGCTGGGGAGAAAGGCTGATGAGGAAACAGGACCCGGCCGCTGGTCTGTCACACGGCCACGGAACCCCCGGGCTCCCTGGAGGACCCATGCACGTGAAGGGCCTCCTTCGCCTTCTCAAGGACAGGATGGCCAGGGAGCCCTCCCCCCACCGGTCTCAGTGGCTTCTCTCTCTATATCCGTCCAACACGCTTGCAAACTAACATCTCCCAATGTCAGAAAACCAGCAAATTACCTTGTTGGGCTCATTCCTTCTCAGAAGATGCTGGGTCCCCACACTGACTTATATGCGGCCACCCTGGGCTCTCACATGTCCCTGGCTGGGTCTCCCCTCCCACACAGGCTCCCTCCATTAAGCCCATCCTCCCCCTGCCCCCTCAAGAGCTACCACCTCCAGGAAGCCACTCTGATTGCTCCAGTCCATTTATCACAGGGTCCGCGTCCCCCAGCCCCAGGAGGGCTTGTCCTGAGCCAAGCCCAGTACCTTGGGGAGCAGTCTGCCCCTGCCCTCCCTGTGGGTGGCAGCTCTCCAGGCCGGGTCTCCTTCTACCATGTGTGCCCCGACTGGAGGCCTCCTGGCCCGATGGAGGGACTAGGTTCTCAATGAGGGTCAAGCTCTAACCTTGGGTATCACCCCCCCGCCGCCCACTCCACCGCCACCATCCTAAGGGCTGCAGACCACCCCATCAGAAACACTAGGGCTGATTCTCAGATTCTCAAGCTGAATCCTAGACCTACGGATTCACATTCATATTCCCTAAGCAGGGAATGTGGAGTTAGCCAACTTCCCAATGTCCTAAGACACGTGGACCTTTGCCAACAACCGCCCTTCACTTAACAGATCACATGCCCTTCACTTTAGAGAACACATGCTGGTTTTCTGTTAGATCTGCTCTTCACAGAGTCCGTTCAGCCCAACACCGTCACAAGGAGAGCTCAGTCAGCGACAGGGCAGCAGGGGAAGACTTGAGGGGGTCTGTCCAATTTGGGACGCGGGTAGCTTGCAGTGTGTTACCAGAGACTCAGAGGAGAGAGAAGATGGTGAGGTAGGAGTTCTTAGAAGAGGCACTGTCCCAGCTGGGTTTTGACATATGTGTAGGAGTTTTCCAGGGAGATGAGGGTCTGGGGAACAGCATAGACCTCGGTTTCAAAGATGGAGACATGAGAAGAGCAAACAGGACGGGGTGGAATGAACTCTTTGGGGGTTGCGGACTGGTTGGTCAAGGCTGGAACATAGGGTGGACGTGAGCTCTCCCTACAACTGCAAACACCCCCGCGCTGGGCCAGGGCCACCGGCTCGCAGAGGAAGACAGACAGAGGTGCTAGATGCTGTCAGCCCTGAGGCCACGGAGACGGGGGCTGGTGGAGAGGACCATGTGGGCTGAAACTTGGGCCCCACTTCCAGATCACTCTGGTCTAACTGCGGCTGAGGGAGGTGCCACGGGATCCTGGGTGGCACCAGCATGTGTGGCCCAACCCTGGTGGCTGGTGTGGCCAACACAGCCTGCCACATCCTGGATTCCAGATGGGGGGCTGGCCTAAGCCCCGGGTGGAGGGAGGCCACAGCCAGGACAGGGCCCTTTGCTGGCCCGACACTGCCACCTGCCTGCCGGCCTCA